TGTTTCCTGATCTTTTTTCTCTTTAAAAAATTTTAGCTGGGTGCTGGTGGCGCACGCCTTTAATCCCAGCACTCGGGAGGCAGAGGCAGGTAGATCTCAGTGAGTTCAAGGCCAGCCTGGTCTACAAGAGCTGGTTCCAGGACAGCCTCCAAAGCCACAGAGAAACCCTGTCTTGAAAAACCAAACAAATAAATAAATAAATGGTAAAAATATGGATGTTTTGCCTCCATGTCTGTACATGTATATGCTTGGTATCTAATGCGACCAGAAGAGGGTGTTGTGTCCCTTGGGGCTAGGGTTACAGTTGTGAGCTGCCATGTGGGTGCTAGAATTGAAATTCAAGTCCTCTATAAGAGTAAAGCATTTCTTAATTGACACTGAGCCATTCCTCCAACTCCTCTCTCTCTCTCTCTCTCTTTTTGTTGAGAGAAAACATACTCACCTGGAACTCACAGTGTAGACCATGCTGGTCTTGAACTCAAGTCAGTCCTCCTGCCTCAGCCTCCTGACCTCTGGTGCTACAGAGTGAACTAGTCCTGACTAGGTTTCTTGATTTTAGGCAGTGCCTCCCAAAGTCATAAAAAGACTTGCTGGAAGAGAAGGGACCTTTGTAGAGTCGTGAGTGTGGCTGTAAGGAAACCAGAGGGCCGGAGGTGAGGTGGCTCAGGCTTCTATTTATAATTAAGATTCCAGTATATGTTTCTCAGCCACACTTAGGCCTTTCAGCCTCTGTATGCTCCAGTCTGCCATTCAATTAGCTAACAGTTTCTTTAGTCCCATTATACATTGTAAGGCTCCCCTGGCTCAGTTTTTTTTTAAAGGAAATAATAGGGTGTTCTGTTCTTGGTGGTTTAATATTTTTAATAGCTTTGCCAATTAAAAAAACTTTCCCAACCATTTATTATGAAATTCATAAATGTACAGAATTGGAAGGCGATGGAATAAACACCCAGCGCCTCCACCTTGGTCTACACTTACCACCTCACCGCATCAGCTTTCTCTTCTCTGTGTGGAGCGTGCATGTGTGTAGTATATTTGTGTGTGATGTGTCTGTACCTGGTGTGCTGTGTGCATGCGTGCGTGTGTTTGTGTGTGAGTGGAAACCAGAGGAGTATGTCAGGTGTTCTGATCCATTGCTCTCTACCTTACTCCTTTGAGACAGAGTTGCACTAAGTTTGGGGCTAGGCTAGCTGCCAACAAACTCCAGTCACCACCCCTGGCAGTGCTCGTGTGACAGGAATGCATCCACATGTGGCTCTAAAATGGTTGGGTTTTGTTTTGTTTTTTACTGTTGTTATCATCATTGTTATTAATAATAATAATTTTATGACTCATGAGTATTTTACCTGGATGAGTGTTACCATGTGAGTGCCTAGTGCCCTTAGAGGCCAGAAGAGGGTGTTGGAACCTCTGGAACTGGAGTTACAGATGGTTGCGAGCTGCCATGTAGGTGATGAGAATTGAGCCCACGTCCTCTGTAAGAGCAACAAGTACTCTTGCATCTCTCCAGCCCACATACCTGGCTTTTTGTTTTTTGTTTTTTACGAGACAGGGTTTCTCTGTATTGTTTTGGAGGCTGTCAGTCCAGCCTGGCCTCGAACTCACAGAGATCCGCCTGCCTCTGCCTCCCAAGTGCTGGGATTAAAGGCATGCGCCACCACTGCCCGGCCTGGCTTTTTGTTTTTAATGCTGCTAGGATCCAGCTCAGGTCCTCATGCTTGTGCAGAAAATGGTCTTCCTTGCTGAGCTGTCTCCCAACTCCCTGTGTGCAGTTTTTTTTTCTAAATTATTTGAAGATAAATTGAAGCTGTTATGACTTTGTTCTGGAAAATTGTAGTCTGTTTTCCTACAAAGTCACTTGAGCATCCATGCAAATACTCTCAGTCTGTCGCACATCTCCCAAGTGTGTTCTTGTAGGAGGTGGGCCTGGTGGCTTCCATCTGTCCTTGGCTCCTATCTATAAGCCTTTGTTCCCTTGTGATGGTCGTATAGCTTGGAAGGTTTTGTGGAGTTTGCTGCTGCAACCTAAAAAGTCCCAGAGAAAAGTCCAGTGACTGTAAGAGAGTTCATGATAGGTAGACAAGGGAGAGTAGACCAAGAGAAAAGTCCAGTGACTGTAAGAGAGTTCATGGTAGGTAGACCAAGGGAAAGCTGTGCGTTTTAGCCTCTAGACATGGAAGTCAAGGTAGGTAGTAAAAATGGCAGCTTAGGAACTTACTTGGTGCCACCCAAGTTTTCACAAGTGTCCTCTGCAGAATGTGCTTTGATTCCTCTATTTTGCCAATGAGGGAACCAGTGCTGAAGTAAGTAACTTGTGACTTGTAGAGTCACAACTCTTTGGTAGCAGCACTGAGATTGAATCCAGAGTACCTGACCACACTGGCCCGCCCTGCCGCCATCCTGCTTGTTGGAGATAGGAGGACACTCTCTGACCTTTAAATCAGTCACATAGAAAACAGCACCCTCTCAAGAGACCAAACCAAACCATGTATCATTCATAGTTTGCTGCTGCTGCTGCTGCTGCTGCTGCTCCTCCTCCTCTTCCTCCTCTTCCTCCTCTTCCTCGACCTCCTCCTCCTCCTCCTCCTCCTCCTCCTCCTCCTCCTCCTGTCCTGGAACTCGCTCTGTAGACCAGGCTAGCTTCGAACTCACAGAGATCCGTCTGCCTCTGCCTCCCGAGTGCTAGGATTAAAGGTTTGCGCCACCAATGCCTGGCCCTTCTTCTTTTTTTTTTTTTTGAGAGAGGGTTTTTCCTTTCTGGCTGTCCTAGAACTTACTCTGTAGACCAGGCTGGCCTCGACCTCAGAGATCTGCCTGCTGGAATTAAAAGTGTGCTCACCATGCCTGGCTTAGTTCATAGTTTTAGTGGGTCATTGGTAACAGCATGGTCCTGGATGTCTCAAGGCTCCATACTTTTAGGCTGTTGTCATGCAAGGGCTTGCATGGGGCTGGAAAGTCCGCTCCCAGATGGTGTACTCATGGTCCTGAAACAGTACCAGTAGGTCCTCCTACTTCCTCCTCTACTCCTTGGCTCTCAGAGTTTCTAAATTCCCACTATTATTTTATAGAAACATGAGAATTCACCAAGTTTCTCAATGAAATTAACCAAAAATAGAGACAGAAGGAAAAAGGAGCCTAAGAGACCCAGAACAGGACAGAGATTAAGGGAAGAAGATGCTTTGGAGAGCCTGGGAATCTCTGTCTTACTTCAGAGATCTGGGATGGGTCTGTCTTTTGTGTGTGTGTGTGTGCGTGTGTACACATAGTATATATATGTATGTATGTGTATATACACACATATACATATATATGTACATATATAATTTTTATTTTAACGTTTATTTTATACCTATGGGTATTTTCTTTGCATGTATGTTTGCATACCAGAAAAGGGCATTAGATCCCATGGGACTACAGTTATGGATTGTTGTGAGCCACCATGTGGGTGCTGGGAATTGAACCCAGGGTCTCTGGAAGAACAGCCAGTGTTCTTTATCACTGAGCCATCTCCCCAGCCCCTTTAGTTTTACTTTTAAGATATATTTTCATTTTATGTGCATGGGTGTTTGCCTATATGTATGTATGTTTACCACATGTATATTGATGTCTGCAGAGTCCATAAGAGGGAGTCACATACCCTGGAACTGGAATTACAGACAGTTGAGAGCTGCCATGTGGGTGCTGGGAACTGAACCCAGGTCCTCTGCAAGAGCAGCCAGTGCTCTCAATCTCTGAGGCATCTCTCCAGCTCCATGTTTGCTTTTTTTTTTCTTTTAAATTATGTGTGTATGCTTGTATCTGTGTGGATATAGCTTTCCCACGGAAGGCAGGAGTGGGTGTCAGAACACCTGGAGGTGGAGCTAAAAGTGGCTGTGAGCTGCCAGATGTGAGCGGTAGTAATGGAACTCGGGTTCTGTGTACGAGCGGCACATTCTCTTCATTGCTGATGTCTCCAGCCCTTCTGTTAAGTTCTTAAAGGGGCTGGTTCTCTCTTAGGTTGGAAGCTGGCTTTCATCCCCCCCAATTGGGGAAAGGAATGATCTCCAGAAAATGTTCAAATTTACTTTAGTGCTTATGGAAACTTTTTATCTATAGACGTCCTTGATCTAGAGCAATGATTCTCAACCTGTGGGCCTCAATCTCTTTGGGGGTGAACAACTCTCTCACGGGTTGCCTAAGACCGCTGGAAAATACAGATATTTACATTACAATTCATAACAGTAGCAAAATTATAGTTATGAAGTAGCAACAAAAATGATTTTATGGTTGGGGTCACCGCAGCATGAAGAACTGTATTAAAGGGTTGCAGCATTAGGAGGGCTGAGAACCACTGCTCTCCAGACAGGAATGATAGTTTATAACAATGTAACCACAGGTAACACATGGTACAGGACAGGTGAGGTGGGAGAAGCTAGCGTGAGGCTATTCCTTCCCAAACCTGTGGACATCTGCCTGCTGGTTCTCGCTTTGTGACTGTTGAATGACCTTGAGACGGAGGCTCCAGTTCCTGGCTAGACCAAACTGAAGAGAACTTAAGTGTTCCTTGTGGATAGATACTTGCCTGGTAGGAAGCTATTGAGTGTACCCTGACTTATGGCAGGTAGGGCTAGGGTATGTGCAGGGGTGTTTTTTGTTTTGCCCTTCCTATGCAGAGTAGGGGTGTAGCTTGCCCCCAGTTTTTTTTTCCTGTGTCCCACAGTAGCCTTGCCCTCTGAGTACTGGCTTGTAAGCAAGCACACATGAGCCAATAAGGTAAAGATGCAGCTAATGTGGGTATAAAGTGTCTTGAGAAACAGTATGGGTTTCCCAGCTGCCCAACATGAAGTTCATTACCATTCAGCACACTGCACCCCACTCTGCTTTTCGTCCATAAGACATTGGAAAGGGCAGGAAAGCACCGCCAGGGAAGCCACTGTAGGAGGAATGGAGGCCTCTAACTTAAAGAATCCTAACTTGTGCATTTGACTTAGTCTGTCCATGATGTATTTTGTATCGAACAGTGGAGAACACACAACTGACCCTGAACCTGCAGACGGAGAACAAAGGCAGTGTTGTCTCCGGAGGAGAGCTGACAATTTTCCTGGATGGGCCAACTGTTGATCTGGGAAGCATGCCTAATGGCAGTGCTGTGACAGACGGTGAGTGCCGCCCTGCTCTCCAGGCTGCGCCAGTAAAGGGGTGGATGGACAGAAATTCTGAGAGCTTGGTTCTCCGCTAGGCATCTTGGTTAGAGTACTATTTAGCCAGCCCGAACTTAGAGCTAGCTCTGACTCTTCTTAGTCTCCTAGCTCAAAATATGACTTCAGTTTTCAAGGATCAAAATAAATGTCACATTTCTGTGTGCGATTGTTTGGATTGAAGGCAGAGAAAACATCTTTTCATCCCATATGGACCATGGAAATAAAACCTCTTTACAAATGTGATTCTAGTTAAGTCCTCTGGGGAGCTTGCGTGTGTTCCTATAAGATGGTGTTGGCTGGGGAGGAACTACATGTCCTTGTGGAGTGTCCCCTGCTCTGACCTGAGTGTGTGGTGTGTAGGTAGTTTGTTCTATTTGATCTAGTCTGAAATTAGTCACTTCAGGATCTGCAGGAAATTATTTCATGGAGTCTAAGGTCATTAAATGTGTTGTTAGGTGTGATGTAAGATAGAACTTCTCAGGCTAAGCACACTTTCTGGAGCGTAGGGGTGAAGTGTGAACTTCCAACTTAAAGGCAGGGTCATATCTCAGAGGTTGGGAAGAACTTAGCTGCCGAGACGAGCCTCTGTTCTGGGGCTAGAGAGATGGCTCTGCAGTGAAGAGCACAGCTGCTCCTGCTGAGGACCTGGGTTTGGTTCCCAGCACCCACATGGCAGCTCGCAGTCATCCATAACTCCTGTTCCATTTCCATGGATGGAATCTGATACCTTCTTCTGACCCCCACCACATCAGGCACACACAGACATACATATAGGCAAAAGAAATAAACAGTAAGTAATTTTTATCCCCCCCCCCCACCAAAATAATGGTCTTGCACTGGGTGGAGCTTTGCTTAGGGTATTTTTGGTGTGGTTTTTTTCCCCCTGTATGTTTGATTTTGGATTTATTATTGTTTTGTGTGCTTTAACATGCACAAGCATACATCTCTTATTGGTTAGCTCAGTTGTATATAATTGAATACCTGGTATGTACTAGGTCTTAGTCCAGGTGCTAGCCAAATAGCAGTGGGCAAAATTCACGACTCTCCTTGAAGTTTCTAATCTACTTGGTGGTGGGGGAGGGAGAGGTAGACATCAAATAGGTAAGTATAGAAATAACCACATAAGTGTCACTGTGACAGGACCTCGGACAGAAAGGGCGGGATTGTCTGAGGTTCCTGAAGTCTGAGGGGCTGTCATGGAAACTAGGGAGGTGTTCTCAGGAAGTTGAGACCTGGACTGTGAGTTCAGACAGTGGGAGAAAAGAGTGAGTGGGTCTGTGGTGAAAACAGAGGGACTGGGGTGACTGGAGTCTGGGGAGTAGCAAGGAGGATAGAGGAGGGAAAGATGGAGAGATGAGTCTTACTCAGAGTGCGCCACCTCAGAGACTATGATCAGGATAGTGAACCTTACCCTAAGAAACAGAGACTGCTCACGGGCATTGTTTTTCCATCCTCTCTGTCTTCAGGGTATCAATGTGTAATCCTGACTATCCTGGAACTCCCTATGTAGACCATGGTAGCCTAGAATTCACAGAGATCACCTGCCTCTGCTTCCCACTGCTGGGATTAAAGGTGTGCGTCACCATGCCTGGCTTCTGCTGGTTTTGTTTTTGTTTTTTGAGACAGGATCTCACTGTGTAGCTCTAGCTGACCTAGAACTCACTATGTAGACTAAACTGGCCTTGAACTCACAGAGACCCATCTGCTTCTGCCTGCCAAGGATTAAAGACTTGTGCCACCTCAGCTAGCTTTTTTTTTTTTTGAAAATGTTTTGTTATTACATTAAAAAAAAATTTGTCTTGTGGGACAAATGTATAGAGGTCAGAGGACAACCTGTGAGAATTGACTCTTTCTGAGGGGCCTGGGCATTGAACCCAGGTTGTGAGGCTTGGTGACAAGTGCTATAATTCTGGCAGAACTGTCGCTCTGGTGTTGGTTGTTTTGTTTTCTTCATTCATACACAGTACTGTTTATGTAAGGCTGTTTTCATGAACATGAATAATTTCTTTTGTGCATATTTCTACCCCCATGTTCTCACTTGCTTCTTATCATTTTATAATTAGTTCCCTTTATCCCCAGGATTTTACTTCTACTTTTATGTGACATATATATGCATAATTTTAAATATTTATTTAAAATTTTGTGCCATATATGTGTGTATACCACATGTGTGTAGGTGTCCCCAGAGTGCAGAAGGAGGGACTCTGAGCTTGAATTACAGATGGTTGTAAGCTATTTGAAGTGGGTGCTGGGAATCAAAAACTCTTTCCTCTAGGAGCAACAATTGCTCTTAACCCCTGAACCATCTTGATAGCTCCATATATATAATTTTTTGTTGGTTTGTTTTGGATAAGATTTTACTGTATAGCTCAGGCTGGCCTTGAACTCACTGTCACCCAAACTAGCTTATTGTGATATCCTGTCTTAGCCTCAGCTAGCTGGCTGTTGGAGAACCTTTTAGGTAAAGAGTGACGTGATCTACTTTGGCATTACAAGCTCTGTTTGTCTTGTGGAAAATGCCCCCATTTCAGGTGCTCACTTGGCCCTACTTTTGAGAGGCTGAAGTTCATCTGATGGATAAGGCAGGCTACATGTTAGTGTCTGGGATGTTCCTGAATGTGTTGGCGAAGAGACATTGTTTCCTAGGTTTGAGTTCCATCTGCACTATCTCATATGATTGTCTCTACAAGGAGTGGTTTGTAGAGTGGCTACCACTGCCAAGATGTCCCTGTTCCATCTTGGTGGGTAACTCCTAAAATCCAGAGGGAGTTCTCTGCCTGGTGGTTAGCTCTCAAGGGCTGAAATTTCTCAACATCTCTGCTTTTCTTGTGATTGATCTAGGATCACAGCCACCTTCAAGAGAATCCAGTGGGACTGCTCTAGCTCCAGAGTCCCGGCACCAGCCCCCCAGTACAAACTGCTTTGGTGGCAGGTCCCGGTAAGTACCCTTATTGGTGAGATGGCCCTGGGAAGGTGCTTGAAGCTATGGAGTTCTTGAGGGAGTGCAGTGCTCCACGTCCTTAGGAGAGGCAGCAGTGCACTGACAAAGATTGGGGCTGGCTGGGTTAGTGACTGGGTAAGAAAGGCCTTCTCTTTTCCATCAGGGGCTATGGCGGTCACCATGCATGGAGAGCATGTTTCTTTGGATGTAGAATTTTCTGGTTGCATTTCCCTCTTGGGACATTGCTGATGGTTCTTATTCTCATGTTGGTTATAACCTTGTTTGCTGAGAGTCTGAGTTCATTTATACTTGTTATGTCTTGTGGATGATGTGATTCTGCTTACTACTCTTTCTTATACCTGTATTTGTGCTCTGAACTCATTTCCATGACAACTGAATTCCTAGGCAAGAGAGCAGTTTTAAATGTATTGGAAAGATGGTGGAGAAGGAGGAGGTGTTTAACACTGGTTATTGCAGTGTACAAATCCCCAGACATTTTCAGGAAGAGGATCATATGAATGTAGTTTGTGAATATTATCTTCTTACAGTAGGCAAATTGCTGCTAGCAGAAGGCAACACTACCTTTTTAATTTAAAAATTACATCGATTTATTTGCTTATTTATTTTGTGTGTGTTGTGTGAGTGCCACAGTTCTCATGTGGAGGTCAGAGGATAATTTGCTGAAGTCAGTTCTCCTCTACCATATGGGTTCTGGGAGCTGACTCATGTTACCAGGCTTGGTAACAAGTGCCTTAACTTGCTGAACCATCCTCACCAACCTTGACAATGCCTTTTTAATGATACATTCATAGGTAAAAGTATTTTAAAAAATTGGTGAGAAAAGCAGGGTTCAATGGCATGTACTTGTAGTCTCAGCCATTGGAAGACCGAGGCAGGAGGATTGCTGGAGTCAAAAGTTTGAGGCCAGCCTGAGCAATATAGGTAGATTATGCTTCAATAAAAACAAAACAAATAAAATAAAATGGATGGGAAAAATAATCTTGAGTACAAGAGAATGGTTGATTTTGGCCAGAAGACACAGGAATAATAAAGAAAGGCTGGAAAGAAAGTATGCTTAAGGTCATGCTGCTTCTTAGCCTGTGTTGTAATTTGGAATATTCCTCTCTTTCTTAAAAATTGACGATATGTTTAACCTTTTACTATGTTTATGGGTATATTTCACAATACAATAACTAAGTAAAAAGTGCCACCTGCCATGCTAAATAAACTGAACAGCAGGGTATTAAGTTGAATTATTGTGTGTTCTTGAAGACAGACTTCAGATTCCCAAATGTTCTGTAGTAGCTCCTTACATACATTCTGCCTGGTTTACATATGTAACAGGGAGACAAGGGATACTCCACACTGGCTTCTTAGAACACCCTGCAGCCCCCGCCCCAAGACAGTTTCTCTGTGCGGATCTGACTGTCTTGGAACTAGCTCTGTAGACCACGCTGGCCCGCCACTCAGAGGTCTGCCTGCCTCTGTCTCCTGCTGTGACAAAAGGCACGCACCACCACCCCAGTCTTACAATTAATTGCAATCCTGAGAGTTCACTGTGGGACTCTGAGCCCAGGTGAAAGCTTGGCCCCACCAGATAACATCAGAACATCCTTAATCTTGGTGGCCTGAGAAGGCTGATTTTCTATAGGCTTCCAATAGGCTATTCCATATTTGGTTAGCAGCAGGTAGAAACAGGTATGAGCTGTCCCCATTGAGGTTCACTGTATATGTCAGCATTCCATGTCCTTGGAGGGGCTGGTGTATGATGTGCTCGTTGGCACAGAGAACATGTAAGGATCCCTCATGTTTATTTCTGTTCCTGGAATGAGGCTGGCTTTGGACACTTGTCCCATGTCTCTAGTGCTGCGCACCGTCATTCAGGGTCCCACTCAGGGTCTTTATAGTGAGTTCAGTCTCAGTGATGAGAGAGACGTTTGTGGAGCAGGCAGATGCATGCAAGAGAGGAAACCAGTATGGCAGGGGCAAGGCTGAGCAGTGTGGGCTGGGGTTTGTCCTTTGTCCAGACATCAGGACATGCCACTCAATCCTAGGAGCTAAGGAGATCCAGTGGGGTGTGTCTGGAGGGAAGAAGAACCCCATAGAAGGGGCTACACCGGAACTGGCAGCCTTCCTTGGATTTCCTGTAGGTTAGAAATGGTTGTGAAATTCCAGGCTGAAGTTGGAAAGCCAAGGGTGTCTGGATTTCCTTTGTGGTTTTCTGTTTCTTGGTCACCTGTGGTCCTCTCTTTTCTTTCTTCCTCTGTGTTGTCTGAGGCAAGTGATGGTGGAGGAAGTTCAGTTAGTAGTACTGTATGTGTGGGGCACTTTTCCTTCCTGCCCCAGCCTTGTCGGGCCCTCCGACATGGATGCTGGCTTCCACTGGAGTCTCTATAAACAAGGAAATGAAACAAAAAAGGAAATATGTCTTCATTTACTTTTAGCTTCATAAAGTTATTGTTTTTCCCTTTCAGTGTTAGGGATTGAGTGACATGGTTTCTGTATTCTAGGCAAGTGCTCTACATTGATCTATATGTAGTCTCTGCCATCTTATTTTATTTTATTTGAGATGGAGTCTAACCTGTCTAGATTGACCTTCAGCTTACTCTTGTAGCTGGGGCTGACCTTAAACTTGAGATCCTCCTGCCTCAGCCTCCTGAATAGTTCGAAATACAGGCATGTGTCACCAGGCCTGGTAGAGCTTTTTGTTAATAGGACTTTACAAGGAATTTTGGTTAAGAAGCTGGCTATGTGCGCTCAGTTTGTTGTCCTTTATTATGTGTATAACTGTTTGTTTTAAAAGTAGTGAATGTTTTCTAATACTGGGAGCTGAACCTAGAGCCTGGAGCACATCAGGCAAGCCTTCTAGCATCAAACTATACTCCCGGCGCTTCATACGCATATGTGGTGTGAGGGATGGAGACCTGAAGGCTTTGAGTTCTCCCAGGTCCTTCCAGCTAACATTAGTTCAAATCTGCATTTGAACATGTTCCCTCCCAGCAACATTTTTACTGTGGCTGTTTTAGGTTCTCCTTGTAATGGTTTTCTGTCTCCCTCTGTGACTCTTCTTTTTTGTCCCGCTATGACGAAAACCTCTTAGATTTATTAACTCCTTTGCCTTGGCATTAGTACCCCCTCCCCCACCGATGTCTGAAAAGAGCTGTCTTCTGGGAAGCCTGTACAGCCCAGAGTCTCTGGTGAGCTCTGAATAGCTCATGGGCTGTGTCTGCAGACAGCGGATCCCAGAAAGGAAAGACAAATAAACTTAGGCGGGTGTGAGTCTGCTGGGAAGCCCTGGGAGAGCCAGGGGAAAACGGGGAAGCAAAGCTGACATGAGCAGAGGGACTCTGGGACCCGAGCCTTCAGGCACTGGGCCATTCTTTCAGCCCTGCTGGCTCCCGCCACCCCTTCTTCCATAGAGCTGACCAAAGCTGACTTGGAGATGTCACCCTGTCAGTCTGAAATGGAGTTCTGCTTCCTTTAAAATGTGCCTGTAGTCTCATTAGTGTTGCTGGGAAGGAGAAAGAAATACATGTAAATCTATTTCATCATTCAGTGGCAACAGACACAGTCCCTGCTTCCAGGGAGCTGCAAGCTGTCTTCTGAGCAGTTGAGACTATGGACAGTGTCTGGGGCATTTTCAAAAAGTAAATATGGAGATTAGTACCATTTAAATATGCATATTGATGTATTGATCATCTGTTAATAAAAGTGACATTATTGTACTTTTACTTATCTGTATCTGTTTGTTTCGTAAGTAGCTATTTGGCATTCCCTTTGTAGGATAGGAGCCCAGCAAGAGGTAGTGTGTCCCAGAAAGCTGAGTAGATCTAAGCATAAGGAAGCCTGCTATCTTCAGTGAACACAGTAGTCATGGTGACAAAAGGTAGAAAGACATGGTATCTGATCCGAGGACTCTGTAGCAGGAGGACACTGGGCAGCAATCACAAGTATTAGAGTATATACACCTGCACACCCATAGTGTGTACACACCCAAGTACTAGTGTGTACACACCCAAGTACTAGTGAGTACACACACAAGAGTGAAACATTTACAGATACTTGGAAGGAGTTTGCTGACCCAGTGAAATGGGGGTTGGGGAGTCCCTACAAGTAGAGTGTTCTGCGTGGAAAAAGGCAGGGAAAATGAGAGAGCTTGGCTTACTAGGGGATAGGAGTCCTTTGGTCATGCTGGCATGTACCATAATGGGGATGATCGCTGTAGCAGGCCCAATCCAGCCACCACCTGCTTTTGTCTGTTTTCTTTTTGTAAAAGCCTGATAGAGCAGCAGCATAGGAGTTTTCTTGTGCCTCCGTAGCTCATAACCAACCTTTGCTAGGAGCCTAGGAGACACATTGACACTTGGAGGCCATTGTTTATGCTAGGGCTCTGGCTTGGTGGTGTTCATTCTGTGCATTTTGACAAATTCATGATGGATATCCACTGTTACAGGCTCATGCAGAGTAGCCCCTGTCCTCCCTGTTCTCTCTGACCCTGGCACTGGTCTTTTTAATTGTGTTCATGTTTTTTCCTTTTCTAGAATTATGCTCACTGTGGAGCTTTCTTCACATTAGTTTCATTGGAATAGTTAATTTCTATTGGATACTGAATAGTATTTCATTGTTTGAATCCAGCATATTTTATTTATTTATGGGCTAACTGAAGTATGCTTTAGTTAGTCCTAAATTTTGCTAACTGTGAACAAAGCTGCAGTCTATATTACACAGAACTTTCCCAGAAGGGAGGCTGGGAGTCTTCCAGTTCCTGGGGGAGGAGAGCTACTTGGGAATGTCTGGCACATTATGTTTAAGACTAAAATCAGAAACCAATTGAGAGGATTTTCTTCCTTGTAGAAATTTGCATTTTACATTTTGGTTTTATGATTTAGGGTTTTTTATTTTGTTTTCTTGTTTTTGTTTTACAAGACAGGTTTCTCTGTGTAGCCCTGGAACTTGCTGTGTAGACCAGTCTGACTTTAAACTCAGAGATCCGCCTG